TTGTCCGTCATTTACAATAGTAGTAATTGTGTGCTCCAACAGGTAAAGCTGCTTTCGGAATCAGTGGCTCAACATTGCATTTCATGTTTTCTTTACCAATCTGGTTCCGATTTAAAAGCGTAAGGTAATGATTTAGTAATTCTTTGAATTCGGGGTTAATAGAGCTTAAACTTATTATTACAGATGAAATATGTATGGAAGGCTCAAAAATGTTTTCGCAGTTGGACTCCCGTTTAAAACAAATTTTTATAAATACTTCTCCATTCGGTGAAATTTCTCTTATAGTTTTCGGGGAGCTACGGCAGTGACCGCACTTGCGCACTTGTGTGCATATCTTTCTCTCTACTTCCAACAAAACCCCGAGATCTGTAAATATTCATATGTTTGATTACCACGGCGTTGGTCTACAAACATTCATATGTTGGGGTTGTGTGGATGTGCGCACAAGTAGATCACGGCGATTGTCGCGAGCCAAAGGTTTTTTCTTCAATTGTGGGCCTTTTGTGATTGTGGTAGCAAAAGGCATTCAAATTCAAATGCTTTATCGTGTATTTCTTCGTGCAGTCAGGCATAATGATAAGAATCTGATATATTTTTATTCAATAAAAACTTAAATGACTATAATGAAATAGTTGTAGCTTAATGAAATTATTGAAGGGTTTGGCCTGTTCATGTGCAAAATGCTATTTTCCATGCTTTTCGTAAAGGAAAAGCACTACCCTTACCCTGAACGTTGGCATGTTAACTTTTTGGGCCGGCCAACCACGCACACTTACTTACCTACTTTTGCTTGTTGTGCAAGTTGGTTGAATGCCTGCCCGATTGTGCACCAGCAAGTGCACAGCTTTTTTGCTGCACCAGCAAGTCGCAAAAATTGAACATTGTCAATTTTTGGTCTTTTCGCAAAACATTTAGACAAGCCGACGATGAATTGCCCTTGCAGAAATGCTACTTCGTTTTTTTTATTTAAAGCAAAAAGTAAGCATGCCAAGTAAGAGGTACTAGTAGAGAGCTCCCGACTAGGGAACCCTCTTATTCTAATAATAATATAAATAACAAAGATAAAATAAGAAAAAAAAGTTCTCCTGACAGAGTGTGAACTCGCAACTAACCGCATTACTTGCTGACGTATCTACTCAACAGTCACACCAGCCAAAACAAAACAAGTAAGAGGTTCTAGTGGGGAGCTCCCGACTAGGGGATACCCTGAACCCTCTTATTCCAACACCAAATAAATTAATAAAAAAAAGTTCCCTTGGCAGGGCTCGAATTTGCAACTGACCGCATTACTTACTGTCGACTCTACTCAACAGCCACACCAGCAAAAAAAAAAAAATAATAATACTTTCCCCGGTAGGGCTCGAACTCGCGACAGACCGCACCACTTGCTATGCCTCTACTCAGCAGCCACACCAACAATTAAGTACTTATGATAAAAAAGGAATCACCATGCTATTAGAATGCGAAGAAGACGCGCATGAATGTGTGTGTGTACATGTATACAGAAATTCTTAATGCTGCTGCCGCATTCAATTGCGCAGTTGCATATAACTTTGATTTTTCTTAACCGATCTTTATGAAATTTCCTACAGTATATCTATTTTGTACCATAGAATATTAGTGTATTCTGAAAAAATCAATTGCATTTACATTGTGGTTTAAATTGGTTGGCAATAATAGTTGGGTTATTACCTTGTTTTATAGATGCGTGGTGCTAGCGGGGAGGTGGCGATAGGTATGAAATGAAAGATACTTGAAATATCTATAATATTCTAGAAGCAACATATCATGTTTGGTGGCTCTAGCACTTATTATTTACCCAATTTGCTAAAAAAAACAGGATGTCGATATCGATTTTTATCGATTGCTTGGAAACGGAGTAAGTTATCGATTATCGGAAACAAACTCGATCTGCGCGGGAACTAGGAGCATCTACAACTAATTTCAAGTCTCTAGCTCTTATAGGTTCTAAGACCTTTGGCTCATACATACGGACGGACGGACGGACGGACGGACAGACAGACGGACATGGCTAGATCGACTCGGCTATTGATGCTGATCAAGAATATATATACTTTATGGGGTCGGAGATGCTTCCTTCTGCCTGTTACATACATTCGGATTTTGCATAAATACAATATACCCTTATACCCATTTTTAATGGGTTCAGGGTATAAAAACAAGTAAGAGGTTCCAATCAGGAGCTCCCGACTAGGGAATACCCTGAACCAACGACAATATCAACACTTAGATGAGTGACGCCCATACATTTGAATGCGTCGCAAAATTTCTAGCCTGGCCTTTCATCTGGCCTTTGAGGTTCCGTACGCCATGCCTGCCGACTGGTTGTTCGTTCTCCAAAGACCAGACGAACGAATGCCGAAGTCGCAGCTTGCTGATGCTGACACAAGCTACGAGGTTAGTCGCAAGCCTGCCTTCAGCAAAGCTGGTCGATGCTGCTTTGCGTCGCTTCGTTTTCGAAGTACATTGCGAAAAAGTTTAGAACTTACGATCGACGCAAAGTGCTTGTGCTTTATCCATGAAATGCATGCTTTATTTAAATGATATATTACCCTAGATATTAACAAATAATTTTACAGGAAATTTTAAGAACTTTTATAATTTTTACACAAGGCGCTTCTTACGCAATAACTATGTTAAGAAAATAGCACACACAGATTGATTTCACTTTTCTTTTTGGACAGTGTATGCCCGAGAAAAGTTCTTGTTTCAGCCAATAGCGAGTGTGCACCTTTGGTTGTATGCGTGAATTATACATGCATAAGAACTTTAAAGTATGTATGTATGTGTTGTTATTCACTGCACTGGCTTTAGCTGGCAAAAAAATAATTTTGTTAGTTTTCTAGCGCAGATCATGACCTATCCAAATTTTTGTTTATATATGAATGCATTTTGTGTACTGAGGTTGGCTCCGCAGAAAATATGTATTTCTAAGTCGATGCATATAAGTATTTACATAATTTCTTCAAATTAAAGTAATATTACTTTTATTCTCCAATTAAGAAAATACAATTACATTTCAAGTTAACTCGGTCATATTTAGTTATGACCCCATTATAATTATAATGGCCTCCTCGGGGTGTTCTTTGTGGGTACTTTGTTCTTTATTATTCAAACAAAAAATAATAATATTTTATTAAAAAAAAATAATTAAATAAATGTATCTTTAAAAAACAACAAATTTTCACTTTTATTTCCTTCATTTAATTTGTATTACTTAAAAATAATAATAATTTAATTACATAAATATTTGCATCGACTTAAAAATACATTTTTTTTGTACGGACCGAACCTCAGTACACAAAATGCATTCATATATCAACAGAAATTTTAAGTAAGTCGTAATCTGCGCTAAAAAACTAAGAAAATTGTTTCTTTGCAGCCAAAAACTTTGCCAGAGCAGTGGATAACAACACATTCAAATATGCTGTTATGTATGTGTATTCACACGCATACAAACATAATTGCTTGCACGGCCCTCATAGAGCCGAAGCTGAGAGCAAATTCTATTTTAAGCTTTTTCGTTCTCTCGGCTGTGAGAGCGCAATGCTACAGATTTCGTTTTCGTTCTTAATTTTCAAAAAATCAAGCTGCATAGTACCATTTTGTTGTATGGCGTTATTCATCTTAGCGTTTATATTGTCTTTGCCTGAACCCTTTTATTCCAACACCAAATTCAGCTCGCGCTATGTGCTCTTTTGCTTAAGTTGTAACAAAGATAAATAAAACAAAATAAAATTCCCTTGGCAGGGTTCGAAATCCCAACTAACTGCTCTACTTTCCGCCGTCACTACTCAACAGCCACACCAGCCACAAAAAAAAAATTTCTTCGGTAGGTCTCGATCTCGCGACGGATAACACCACTTGCCAGAACACAATCGCAATTATAATGCTGTTGATGAATACGAAGCAGATGCGCATGAATGTGTGTGTGTACATGTATACACAAGTTCTTGGAATTGGCGCTTGCTGACAATGATAGGAGGCAAGTCAAAGCACGTTTGGGTATCTTAAATTTCTACAGTACATCTTATTGTTCCAAAGAATATTTGGGTATTCTTAAAGAGTCAATTGGATTACGATTGTGGCTTAAATTGGTGAGCAGTACAAGTTGGGTTATTAACTTGATTTATAGCTCTGCGATGGTAACGAGGAGGTGGCGATATTTATCAAAAGGAAAGTTACTTAACATATATAATATTATATTTACCTAATTTGTTCAAAAAACAGGATGTCCATATCGATTTTTATCGATAGCTTGGAAAGGGAGTAAGTTGTCGGTTATCGAAAACAATCTCGATCTGCGCAGGTACCAGGAGGGCGTGCATCTAAAATTTCAAGTCTCTAGCTCTTAAAGGTTCTGATAGCCTTGCTTTCATACATACGGACACACGGAGGGACAGACAGACGGGGTAGATTGACTTGGCTATTGATGCTGATCAAGAATATATATACTTTATGGAGTCGGAGATGCTTCTTTCTGCGTGTTACATACGTTTGCACAAATACATAATACCCTTGTAACCCATTTTCAATGGGTTCCAGTGGCCTTATAATTAATTATAAACTTGGCATTATAAACTTGGCTGGAGACTTTTTTAATCTCTTCCATGGTTGTAAGTATATGGCAAGTAAGTATACAATATACAGATGGGGCAGCTGGAAAAAAATTGGAAAGCACTTACAGCGTCACTTCGTAATTTGCTCGGGTCCAGAAGCATTGAGAGCAGTGAGAGTCAGCTAAAGCAGTATCCTTTAGTGTGAGCAAAACAAACACAAGTAATGCCGTTCTACACAACTGCTCCCTGAGCAAGTGGGCGAGCTACCGACCCTAGCAAAGACGAGGTCGATGTGGGACAAATTAATGGCTACTTTTTTTTGCCATCTATATATTTTTTGTATTGCATATTATGTTGTAGCCGACTGCAATATTGTTATTTGGATGTTTCTTTATAATACAACTTCTATTTTAATATTTGTTGGGTTTTATTTAATTCTTCATACATAAAAGATATAATTGAATAAGCTTAATTTTTTCATGGAGAGCGTAGGACTAAGGCGTTCTTCTGATGAGGGGCATATCACCGTTACCACCGCCAAGTTTTTTCATCGATATACTTTGAGCTACACATGTTGATTGTGTTAAAGAGGTTGCATTTCCACTTCTTCTTAGCTCGCTCATTGGCCGAAAACCTAAAAAATATAAAAATTGATCAGTTGACAATAGGCTCTTCTTAGCCACACATAAAGTCGTAAATAGACACCGAATAATATAAATGCAGCAATTAAGTTTCTATACAGGGGTATTTTTAAGTATTATACTACACTATACTATAATATAATTTATATATCATAACAGTAATAAAAATGTACGAATAAAATAAAACTTTCGAAAATAAAATAAAATGAATTGATTTAATTGTGTACTTTTTCGTTATTCAACTTTTGCACCTTTTGTTGCACAATATCAGCAAATTTTGTATACAAAAGAAAAAAAGGAAAATTCTCAACAGAAGAAATATGTATACTGAATTTCTTTGACTGTTACGAAAATTAGCAGAAAGAGATGTTGGAAGGATTTATTTACCAGACAATATAATCTCCAATTCTTAATTTTTTACAATAAATACATTCTCATTCACATAAAATTGGTTTTGAATGCCTTGTATTATTTTTAATGTCTGCCTGAATGAAAGGCTGCCGTGGTTTTGAATAAATTGCATTACATTTGAAAAAATAAACTCCAATATGCTGTAGCAATTGAAAATCTAATGATATTTTCATGTAGTTAAAATGAAAACCGTTCTTATCCCCTCCTTTCTGCTATAAATTATTTAAAAACTTCTTACACCTGGGCCTGACAATATTCCTTGTCTATTCAAGGAGTGTAGTTCTTCCCTCCTTCGTCCATTGCTTAAATTATATCCCTTCTTTCCTTCTTTCCACCTCTTTGGAAATAATATTATTAAAATTAATCACTTCGAATTTACAGCTTTTCTGCAAATCAATTGTCTGTCCTGTTCAACATGGATTCGTAAAGAATCGATTAATTACGACCAATCTGCTTGAATATACATCCTTGGTAAATAATCATTTCCTTTCTAAAATGCAAACTGATGTCATTTACACCATGATCTTTTACTCCTTAAACTTGACCGTTTGGGATTTCCTCTGCCTCTTAAGCATTGAATTTCGTCTTATTTAAAAGATAGGACCCAAAGAGTAATGCTCAGGCTGACTACCTCAAAACAGGTTCACGTTACTACTGTGTTCCTCAGGGTTCTTCACTCTTTTTATAAATTATCTCCCCTCGGTTTTATCACATGCCCGTATACTTATGTGTGCGGACGATATGAAACTTTTTCTGTCATACACTTAACGAATTAGGAGCCCTATCTTCGGTTGCTATCCTTCTTTTACCGTAGGACAATCCTCGGTGTTCTCTTCCTAGATATGTTGATTGTTGGCGTCATAGATTCCTCTTTTCTGTTGGGGCGACTTCCATTCTCTGTTTCGTCTAGACGTTTACAAAAGATTACCCTATTCACACTTTTTAGCATGTACTATATACAAATTCTAAAAGTTGTTTCACGCTTCCTCCACCGAACTTTCTCTACGCCTAATAAAACTGTTGCTTTCAGAATATCTTTGGGAACTTACTGCGCATTCCCAGCTATGAGTAGGGCTATAACTTTCCGGACAGGCTATAAATTTCCCAATCGAGTCGGTGATTTCCCATCACTGTCATTTTATCCTAACTACTAATCCTAACACTCTATATTACTAGTATTAATTTTCCTTTGTTAATAGTTTAAATTTAAAAATATTGCAGACGAAAATGGATGAGTTCAAAAGTTTAGCGACGTATTTACAAATACCTTCAGATGTAATCAAAATTTTGTTACGATTGGAACTTCTATGCCAATATTTTCGATTACTTTTGTTAGCTTTTGTTACTGACACTTGTGACACTTTGCCATCATTAAGCGTACTTAAAGTAAAATCGTTTTCTAGCCGTGTGGCCGTCTCTGGCATATTTCTACAAATTGTAGAGCAAAGAAAAACACTAAATAGAAGGAGAATGCAGTCGTAGTTTTTACCTACGGATTAATGTTTGTATTGTGAGAAATCGTGATTAATAGAAATCAAGGCTGCACTGTTCGCAACGACGACTCGTTGACAAGTTTTGTAGTTTTCTAATCTTTGAACCTAAATTTTGGATCAAACCTTGGTTGGAAACTTTTTTATATTAATTAATACAGTGCCAAATTGTGCTCAAAGTATAAACATCCTACCCGTCAAAATTACTATTAAAAATCGATATTTTCTGTTTTCCACCTTGACAATAAGTGTATGCAAAATATTTTATGCAATGTCTGTATGTATCAGCTTCCAAGATTCAAGAACAGCAGTAGGGTTGTAGCTAAAGAATTAGAACAGAATTTACAAAATTAATACGCTTTTTCAAACCGTTGTTTTCTTAACAATTTTGTGTGCCTTTTTATGTGATTTATTTACTTTTTAAATGCTCATAGTTATTTTGTTATCTAAACATATTGCTATTCTTACATTTGAATTGCTTAGGACCCTCAATTAACTTAGACCGCTACTTTATCAGTAGCTTCATATTTATATCTTTCAACTGGCTGTTAAAAAGGAATACATAATGAGCGACCACAAAGACTATCCGGTAGGAAATACAGCCACGAATTGACAATCCTTAATGAAATTTGCGTGGCGCAGAATAGAAGCTTTCCAAACGACAATGTCAGTATTCATGCTAAGAAAGCTATTAGAGATTCCTGGCAAACCTATTTAAACATATGGTTTAAAATTATGGGGAATTGAAGCAGAAGCGAAATAGAAATCATCAAGCATGCACAAGTAACATACATTAAAAATATCACCAGGGCACTAAGGCTTATTCAAACTAATGTCCTTATTAGGTAAGGGCTATAAATGAAAAATTGTTATTTTACCTTAAAGACAATTTCTAGTAAAGATTAATTAGTAACTTAACAAGTAAGAAGGTCTTGTCGGGAGCTCCCAACTAGGGAATACCCTGATCCCTCTTATTCCAACACCAAATATATTTAAAAAAGTGTTCCGTTGGCATGGTTCAAACTCGCATCTGACCGCATTACTTGCAGTCGACTCTTCTCAACAGCCACACCAGCAAAAAAAAAAGAAGACCTCACCACTTGCTATGCCTCTACTCAGCAGCCACACCAATAATTAAGTACTTATGATAAAAAAGGAAGTAAAATAGCAGAACAGAAAAACGTGCATCAGACGCGTGCCAATAATGTATTTTCTTTTGCGCCCATGATCAGCCCATTCACAGACATTTGTATGTGTGTGTCTGTGTGTAGGGGTCCAAAATCAGAAATCCTAAAATCTTGTTAAATTTGCATCGGGGACAGGCAGGCAGGCAAGCAACAGGCACACAAGCGCATAAATGCTTCTATTCATACACAAAATATGCAAGTATGCGTGTATAGCGAGTCCAAAATATTCTAAATGCACACATGGCAACGCTTGGGTACCCTTACCAACGATAGCGAGCTAAAATGCAAGAATTTCGCATCGACGTGGCAAACCCTTTCTCTATTTCATATTAGCCGTGCCTTCAAAAGGGTAGAAATGCGTCAGCTTTTGGGAAAAATTGAATTTGTGCGCAGTTTTGCTTGTCGGACAAATACACACACACACACATTGAAACGATCCCTTAACATAGAGAGAGCATTGAGAGCTGAGAGTAAGTGCGAGCGAGATAAAAGTTAACAGCGTTGCCGTTCTATCGCACAAATCATATGGAAGAGAGTGCGCCAAGCACTTTCCTGTAGAGTAAGCGGTTCAAAAATACATCATATGTATATCTTACTTCCTCACTCGCGAGTTTGGACCAGATGCCACCGATACATTTTGTGTCTACTTCTAGTACTCATGTCTAGTCTATATGTTGTTTGGTTAGTGGCACTAGGCACTAGGAGGACCCACATTTCAAAATTTCAAGTCTCTATCCTTATAGGTTCTGAGATCCTAGCGGTTATACATACGGACGGACATGGCTAGATTGACTCGGCTATAGATGCTCATCAAGAATGTGGGGTCGGAGATGCTCCCTTCTGCCTGTTAAATACATTTGCATTTTGCACAAATACAATATACCCTTTTTACCCATTTTCAATGGGTTCAGGGTATACAAATATTTCAGTACATCCACGAACGGGATCGGAATCGCAGCGATTTAATTGAAGTTTTAAATATATCTAAGGTCATTGTGCGTAATACGAGTAAAGCATAATGCACTTACCTAGTTTTACCATGATTTCCTTCCATACACGTTTTTTAAAAACGAATATAATGAAAACAAACACACCCAGCAAGACGTTGAATGAATCACTAATTGACCAAAAAAAATTCTTTTTGTGATCATAAAACAAAATGCTGGCAATTTCCAAAAGCCATGTAATTCCCATTACAAAGCAAAGTTTTGTATTCATAATAAATCTTGTTTTATCCATAAAAAAACGACTCCTTAAGGTATGTTTTTCAGTGTTTGAACTTTGCATTCTAAATATTTCTCGCTTTACTTTGTTGCAGTATTTTAACGTTAACAAAAACAATACGAGATTAACGATAAAAAGTATTCCGAGAGGTCCCGAGAAAAACAACAAGCTAGCAAATCCAATTGTATCATCTGAAAATAGAGATTTAATTCTTTACTACAATTTAAAAAAATATATATTGATCAGAAACATACAGGTAAACCAACATCGGCCGTGTCCAAACATGGGTCGGATAGTTTCATTTAACACATCGGATTTACTTAATGAAGCAGTTATTATTGTTAAAACTGTGGGCATTCCCCAACCATAAAAAGAGTACCATAAAAAAAGGGTTCGTTGCTCGCTTATTTGTAAATTTGTTGATTTGGTTGATCTGTAAAAAAATTAAGTGAATTAGCAACTAGAAGACTTCTGTTTTCAACGGATAGTAAAATTGGTAAAAACATTGATTCAAAAATAGTTTGAACCCAATATATTGTTTTGAGTTTAGCAACACGCTTTAAATTCTATAAACCATAATAAATAACCCAATAAGTATTCAAAACACTTATGCAGGTGTTAAATTTCTTAAAATTCATTTCCTCAAATTGCTTTTCGTTCCATCGTCTTTGCTCTTATCCAATTATTATAATAATAACTGTTTTTGTAATAGTTTAAAGAAATTAAAAACTCTCCAAACACTATTTTCCACAGTGTTAATTGACAATTATTGAAAAAGTAAAAAATATAAATTCAAACGCCAACAGACCCTCTGAACCACGATTATCAGAGCGCCTTACGAATTCAGGCTGCTACAACAAATAACAAGTTCTAGCCGGGAGGTCCCGACTAGGGGATATTCTTAACCCTCTTACTCCAAAACCAAATTCAGCTGGCGCAGCGAGCTCTTTTGCTTAAGTAGTAATAACAAAAATAAATTTAAAAAAATAATAATGAAATGAATGTTCCAATCAAACCGTACCTCGCGCTATAGCCGTAACACCTATTCTACCGAGCCGCATCCTCGTACCCGCTACTCTACCGGGTCGTATCCTTGCACTATCTACACTATCGGGCCATGGCCTCGTACCACCTACTCTACCGGGCCGAAGGCTCGCACCGTCTACACTAGCGGGCCGTGGCCACGCACCAACTACACCATCGGGTCGTAGCCTTGCACCTAATGCACGATTGGGCGTAGCACGTACCAACTATGCAATGCCGTATTCTTGTAGGGGCTGTCAAGCTTGGATGCCAACTTCGCAGCGAAGCCTTCAGCGGCGTTGGATAGCCGGTGCTGCCTTAACAGGACCATCAAGTCCAAAGATGACCGCCACTCTCGCCTCTGTAGGTTGTAGTGTCTGCCCTGATTCTTTGATACGCGCTAGGGATTGCTGTGGGCGATATAAAAGATTTGCCTCAATCTATCCGCTTTCGTCATAGAATCGAACGCACTACTTGCGGACCCCGGAGCCATCTGATGTACAGAGCGGCGGGCAACCGTGGCTTCCTACCCTGCATCAGGAAAGCAGGACTGAATCTTGTCGAGTCCACCACACTTATGTTGACCGCATGCAATATCTCCAGCAAGCGCTCGTTCCACGAACTCTAATGGCCCTCGATAAATTGCGCTATTATGGGCTTCAGAGTCCGGAATGCGCTCTGTAGGTGTGCCACCGTGGCCCTCCTGAGAGGGACCTATTCCACCCACTTCGAAAAGGCGTCGTGGAACATCAGTAGTATTGTGTAGCCATGTTTTGACAGTGGAAGGGGTCTGACGAAATCGGCGCAGAGTACTACCATCGGCTATGCTACCTGTCTCGTAAGGTGGTTTGAGTTGCTCGCTTCTTGAGCTTCTGGCAACCTTGACACGGTTTTCTTCACGTCCTAAGTTCCGTATACCGATCCGAAGGCCACTCCGCCTCTGCCCGGCACTACTCTGACTCCAAATAGAGCTCCGCGATCGCCCGACTCTGCTGTCACTCCCGATCCCCTTTGTCCCTGTGGCTTTCAGCCATTGTTCCTAATCCCTCCGTTCTCTGGCACATTTCTGCCATGCCGCCTCCGTGTGGCGACAACAATCCTGGCTGCTTCTGCTGCGGTTCCTATATACCCACAAGAACAAGACGGGACATTGCCTGCCAAAGTGTTCCTCCTGTTCGCACCAACGACATGCCCGCCGCGGATCATACCCGGTTCCGGCCTCTTGGTTCATGGCGGGCAACTTCCTCAGGGGCCGTTACTGACGAGGCGGGGATCCTTCTGTTCACAATGGTCGCTCCGGATCTGATGGGTGTAGATCGGAATAGGTTGAGGTGTCCCCCAGTGGGCTGTTATGTCCTTCCCTTCATCTCCATTGGTGGCTATAAGAAAAAGATTGCCGACTGACTTTATCTAGACTTAGTAAGGCTTCCGATTCCGTTAATCAGTTCGTACTGCCTTCCAAACTTAGAATTCTTAGCTTCCCAGCAAATCCTTTCAGAAGAATCTCAGAGTGTTTGATATTATTCTTAATATAATAAGGTTATTATAGGATTCCCAATGACATTCCCTCAATATTGTCTCACTCTCGAGTAATGCTTGCTGATGATGATACAAGCCGATATTGATGGCTTTAAATTGTTGTTGCAAACAGTTTAATGGTTTAAGCCATAATCAAAAACTTTCTGCTCAACAGTACCAGCAATGTAGTTACTCACATTAAGACCGCGGTAAGTAAGGCCAGAATTGTTTTGATGAAACCCATCCAGCGAAGGCTTAAACATACAAAAATAATTCATGCTGAGATTACGAGACTTGGTTTTAGCTCAGAAACAATATGGGCTAGATTCCATTTGGTATGTAGGCTCTCGTATAGTAAATGCAGAATAAAAATATTTCATTTTTTATATGATCCAAAGGCCTTGTATGTATAAACACACATATGAATGCTATATATATGGCAGAAGATCGGACATCTAACTTTTCGGTCCTTCATTGCCAATTGTGTGGCCTTGACAGCGCATTATTCACGCAGGTGAACACACATGAGTTACTGTTTTGTGCATAACTGTTTCTTTAAGCATTAGATATTCGACAATATTATTATATTATATTTATTGCATGATTTGAATTAAAATCATGGTGCTTAAAACAAAAATTGTATCGACTGAACGCAAAGTGAATTTAGTAGTCAGAACACTCGATTACAACGTATTTGTGTTCTTTTTTTAATGTTGTTTAGTAGTTATATTATTTTAAATATATAACTACTAAAAAATATTAAAAAAACAAGTAAGAGGTTCTAGTCGGGAGCTCCCGACTAGGGGATACCCTGAACCCTCTTCTTCCAACCTTAAATGCATATATATATTCTATTTTAGAAGCTATATGTCAAGTTTGATGACTCTAGCTCTTATTATTTACCAAAATTGCCCAAAACACAGGATATATATTTATCGATCGTTGCGTTCCCATTCAAAATGGGTAAAAGGGGTACATTGTATTTGTGCAAAATTCACATGTATGTAACAGGCAGAAGGAATTATCTCCGACCCCATAAAGTATATATATTCTTGATCAACACCTGTAGCCGAGTCGATCTAGCCATGTCCGTCTGCTTGTCCGTCCGTCCGTCCGTCCGTCCGTATGTATGAACACAAGGATTTCAGAACCTATAAGAGCCAGAGACTTCAAATGCAGTTGCTCCTAGGGCCTGCGCAGATCGAGTTTTCGATAATCTCTAACTTACTCCGTTTCCAAGGAGTCGATAAGAATCGATATCGCCATCCTGTTTTTTTAGCAAATTGGGTTAATAATAAAAGGTAAAGTCACCAAACATGATATGTTGCTTCTAGAATATTATATATTTGTCAAGTATCTTTCATTTTATATCTATCGCCACCACCTCGCTCCCCACATCAGAGCTATAAATCAAGTTAATAATCCAACATTTATTACCAACCAATTTAAGCCTCAATTCAAATGCAATTGTTCAGTATACACAAATATTGTATGGTACAATTCTTATTGTATATCTTTATACTGTAGAAAATTTCATTAAGAAAAAACCAAAATTATATGCAACTGCGCATTTGAATAGAGCAGCATCTTTAAAAATTTCTGTATGCACACACATTCAAGCGCGTCTGCTTTGCAAAAGTACTTAATAATTGGTGTGGCTGCTGAGTAGAGGCATAGCAAGTGGTACGGTCTGTCTCGAGTTCGAGCCCTAGGGGGAAAGTATTTTTATACCCTGAACCCATTAAAAATGGGTATAAGGGTATATTGTATTTGTGCGAAATGCAAATGTATGTAACAGGCAGAAGGAAGCATCGCCGACCCCATAAAGTATATATATTCTTGATCAGCATCAATAGCCGAGTCGATCTAGCCATGTCCGTCTGTCTGTCCGTCCGTCGGTCCGTCCGTATGTATGAACGCAAGGATCTCAGAACCTATAAGAGCTAGAGACTTGAAATTTGTAGGTGTAGATGTAGATGTAGGTGCTCCTAGTTCCCGCGCAGATCGAGTTTATTTCCGATAATCGATAACTTACTCAGTTTTCAAGCAATCGATAAAAATCGATATCGATATCCTGTTTTTTGGGCAATTTTGGTAAATAATAAGAGCTAGAGTCACCAAACTTGACATATAGCTTCTAAAATAAAATATGTATATGTATTTGATGTTGAAGGAAGAAGGTTCAGGGTATCCCCTAGTCGGGAGCTCCCGACTAGAAACACTTGCTTGTTTTTTTTTCTGGTGTGGCTGTTGAGTAGTGTCGACAGCAAGTATTGCGGTCAGTTGCGAGTTCGAACCCTGCCAGGGAACTTTTTTTTTTAATTTATTTGGTGTTGGAATAAGAGGGTTCAGGGTATTACCTAGTCGGGAACTCCCGAATAGAACGACTTACTTGTGGTTTTAAGCACCATGATTTCAATTCAAATCATGCAATATATATAATATAATACATTTATTATTAATTATCGAATACCTTATGCTTAAAGAAGCATTAATGCACAAAACAGTAACACATGTGTGTTCACCTGCGTGAATAATGCGCTGTCTTTTCTGCCAAGGTAATAGGCAATAGGCACAATAGGCAATGAAGGACCGAAAAGTTAGATGTCCGATCTTCTCCTATAAATATAGCATTCATATGTGTGTTTATACATACAAGGCCTTTGGATCATACAAGAAATGAAATATTTTTAACCTGTGTGTACTAAACGAGAACCTACATAGCAAATATTGTTTCTGAGCTAAAGCCAAGTCTCGTAATCTCAGCATGAATTATTTTTTCTGGCCTTACTTACCGCTGTTTTAATGTGAGTCGAGAATACAAGTTTATGATCAATGACGTAGATTAGTAACTACATTGCTGGTACTATTGATACCTTTGAGCAGAAAGCT